GTTGGGCAGCCTTATCTGATGAATGAAGGAGCGTTGGGAAATAATTTGATGAAGATTCTTAACTTTGGTGCCATTTTATTGCTTTTCATCGAAGGAGTCTTTAAATAGTGTTGAGGTGGACTTTGGTTTGTGGTAGGGTGGTGGGTTTAGGTGGCTGCGAAAGAGAGAAGCTAAGGTGGAGCATGAACATAGTGAGGCCACCTAGTTGAGATTATTTACGAACTGGGGGTGTTTTTCTCGATATTATATATTTGAATAAAGTTCATTGGAAAACTGGAATTGCCGTCGTTGAGACCGTATAACTAGTGAGGACCCTCTGGTAAGTGGTAGGTGAGTCAATGAAGCAGCCATATCGACTTCTGAGCTCTTGACCTATTCCATCTTGAAATATCATGAATCAACCATCAAAATCTCTTTTCTTCGTTCGTTCTTAGTTTTTAAAACGCATGTACCAAAAACAGCCAAACTTCATAAACCTCACAACTACCTACCCTCACCTTCCCATACTTTGATCAATTCGCACCATCAACTCTCATACCACCATGAACAGACCACCCAAGATCCCCATACCCGACTTGCGCTTTGAACAGCTGTTTTTGCGTTCTCTAGACGCTTACGCCAGTGCTAGCGTAAAACCCTTATCTGACGCTGAGCTCCAAAATGTCGATGACGAAGCTGAAGACAAGGAAACCCAGCTCAAGCCTATTGCTCCCATCACACCAGGAATTGTTGTGTTAGCCGTCATCAAAGATCAGATACTCATGCCGCTTCTCCAGGGCTTCTTGTGGAGTGGTTTCTTGCTTATGGTCCGTCCAGCCTTGGGATTGGTGGTTGCCAGTGGACAGTCGACTGGTAAATGGTTCTATAACTTCTTAGGTCTCGGCAACGCCAGACGCTACGCAGTGAGGTAGTTGAGGGACGTGGCAAAACGCATAAGATGCTGTTTAGGAAGACAATTGGGGCAGTCGCCGTCGAAGAGCTGGATTGGAATGTGTTCTGGCCCTGGAGAAAGCCAGAGGCCTTTTGACGGTACTCGAGTGGTTGATGAGATCAAGGTTTCTGTACTTTAGTGAGCTGTCGTCTATTTTGGCCAACTTGTCCCTTTTGTTCATATTGTTCATGAGTTGGTAGTCTTCAGCGCCCTTATGGCTTCATGCTACATGGGTGTAATGGTGATGGCGAGGAAGCCACAAACAAGTCTATGCTGCTATATCAACGCCCCTTCCCTTCAAGCATTTGGTATACTGATCATGCTTTTCTCTTGATACGATAGAACCGCGTTACAGACTTGATTGAGGTTTTCCGTTTCATTGAGCCTCTAGATGAACCATCAGGGTACTGACATCCAGGGCTCAATAACGCTTCTGCCTCCTTTTATTAATGGCATTATAATGGCGTTGTGTACGCTCCATTGGCTGCTTATAATAATCGGGCTTCTGATCCTGGGATACCCTCCTTCCCATAAACTCGACACTTTGCTACAACCGCAAAGACAAACACAAACAGTATGAACTACCTTCTATAACTATTGAACGACCTTTTATAATGCAACAAACTGGGGCAATTGCTGGTCTCCCCTACCTGTTGCCTCTCCAGGACTCTCGGTACATACATTACCTACAAATACTAACACCCTCCAGACAAAAACTCCCTTTCCACCGCTTCACCACAAACACTAAAAATCAACCCAGTGAGCTTTGCCATCCCAACCTCTCCCGCTACGCAACCTCTCTGCCCACTCTTCCTTATCTCCACCACCGTCCGCACCTTCCAGAACATCGTATATTACACAATGACGTGTTCCAAACAATGGCAGATTCGGCAATCGCCCCAAAGCCCAAACGCCACACATCAACACAAATTTCCCAAAACTCTAAACATCTGTGTTAGACGCTATACTTGCCGCCCCACCTGTCAAGATCCACTGCGATCTCTCGCAGCCGCTGGATCTGCTGAACCAGCACAGGTCCATAAACCAACGCCATCCCACAAAAAAACCTGAAAACAGAACAAACTTCCAAAATAACTCCACCATGCCGTTTTTGCTCATCCCAAAAAATTATCAACAAACTCCCAAAACACCACATCCAGTCACACCGTCTGCCTCCTCCATACGCCCATCGGCAACTCGGCACTGCGCCTGCCCTGCACCGCAAAGCTTCTTTACGTCAATGCGGCGCCTACCACAGTAGAACACACCTCCTCCAGTTTTCCACCATCAAAGGCGTCCCAGAATTCAATTTCCAAAAAACTCAATTCTCGTCCATCAATTCCCCAACTGATCCGCCCATTCCCCACAGGTGCCCCTGCCAACCCCGGTCGTGCGAAAACCACCAGACATCATAGACAGCATTGCTGCTCACCGCAACTACCCACCAATGTTCAACAGGAGAAGAACAAGAAACCTGGTCGCCTACACGGGCGTCGGGTATCTGGCGCTGGGCCACCAGCCCGACAATGGCGCCATGGCAGCCGCGTTGACTATCGGCAAAAAGCAGCCTTCAGCAGGCAATGGACCCCAGAAACCACCCGCCATAGGCTCCCTGGGGCTGCTTTTGAAAAGACTGCCTTCGTTGCAAAGCAACTCCATTCGCTCCACTAGCACGCCCAAGCACGGCAGATCCGGCTCTGTTTCCAGCGACAGACACAGCTTCACCCCTAGGATGGAGTACTCTGTGGATGACAGCTTCACCGATTCCCAGATCGAGGAGATGGGAAGAGACGCAGACGCCCACTACAGCAACAGAGCGCAGCTTCAGGACCTCAAGCTCTCCCACCTGCCTCCAGAGCCCGTGGTGAAGATGGTCAAGAAGTATGTGCCCACGCCTAACGGTATCAAGGTGGTGGAGGTGCCTGAGACCTCGATGAAGCAGGCCATTGCGAGAAGCAATTCCATGAGACTGGGTCTTTCGCTCAACAGAGCGGGCTCCATGACCTCCAGAACCAACTCTCTTTCGCGTGCACCCAGAACTCCTTCGTTGACGAACCAGAAGAGGGTGACATCCAAGAGGTCCACTTTGGCGGACTCCAGGATTGACGAGGGCTCTGAGCTCGACACCTCCGAGCAGCGCCGGGCCGCTGCTGAGTTGCAGCGTCAAATTGACGAGGAGAGGCAATTGGCCGCAAAGTTGGAGGCCCAGCGCAAGGAGTACGAGCACCTCAAGAAGTTGAGAGAGCAAAACGAGAAGAATAGAGCCGAGCTTGAGCGTCTTCGTGAGGAAGAGGAATCCTACTCTCGCCAAACCTCCCGCCAGACTTCGCCTAGACCGGAGGAAAGCATTCCTACTAGCATTGCCAACAGCCTCGATGCCCCACAGCCTGTCAAGCCTCAGGCACCAACACTCAATGCTCTTCCAGACGACGCTCCACAGGGCCAGTCCACTGACGATGAGGATGTGCCAATTGAGCCAGTTCCATTTGCTGTCGACGAGTTTGAGCAGAAGAAGATTGGTAAAGACCCTGCCAAGTTGCCTGCCACTGTCAGCGATAACGAGGACGTTACCAGCACTTACTCTCTTGATGACAGCAGTGTCACCCACGCCGTTACCGCTGACGATGTTGACGAAGACGATGTCATTCAGAACTACGCCGTGTTGACTGCTCCTAACATCAAGGGACAGGAGGACGAGTTCGGCATTGTCGAGGTGCCAAATGAAAGCAATTCTCCAACTTTAGCTCAACAGGTCAAGTCGAGACTCAACAGCAACTCCAATGGCACTAGTGCTAACGGTAAAGATAGTCTCGTCTTGCCTGGCTCTTCCAGCGCTTCGGTCTCCGAATCCACAACTCCAAAGTTCGATCCAAAGCCTGAGATCATCAACGACGAAGTGCAACCTGAGTATCTTGCACAGCCTGCGGTTCCTGCTGGCTTGGCCTCCTCCATCAAGAGTGGCAGCAGCAACGACTCTAGACCAATTAAGTCTGCCATGAAGAACTCAAGGTCCAGTTACGGCTTGAACAATAACTCTAATTCTAATGTTAGCCCCGCTCAACAGGCCTACTTGTCCTTGACAACCGCTGAAAACACCAGACTCAATTCGAAATTGTCGACGGGCCAGCTTATCGATTCTGATAGCCTTAGTGCACAGAACAGTCATCCTGGTCCACCACGTTCTCCTGTCAATCCACAGAAGTTCGCTGCAGCAACTCTTAGAAAGAGCCAGAATCCACAGCCGCAGCAGCAGCAGCAGGGTGGTCTTGCTGATCGTTCTTTGAGACCAAGGACTACATCTGATGCTTCAAACCGCCAGTCCATTGGTGGTGGAATGAGCAGCCGTACATTCAAAACGAATCAGCCACAGGGCTTACCACCACATCCATATAACGGTCCAAACTACCAGTCTCCAGCAAAAGCTAAAGCGGCTGAGTTATTTGCTAAAGCTAATAATAGACCTGCTTCAACAGCGCATCCTTTGAAGAGGGAGTCATCATTCAACAAGGGCTCTGAAGGCACAAAACCTGAGAGCAGCACTCCTCACCAGCCTCCTCAGAGAAACGGCAAGCATCGTTTCACACTTAGACCAGAAGGGGGACATCAACAGGCTGCCCAGCAAGGAGAACTTACATCAGCAGCTGCTACTACTGCTCACACCAACATTCAACAACAAGCTCAACAACAGGCACAGCAGATTGTTCAACAACAGCAGCAACAGCAGCATAAGGACCAGAGAGGTGGTGGTGGCTTCAAAGGTTTCAGATCGAGACTCGCTGACTCAGACGATGAAGACAATGTTCGTCCTCCCTCCTCGGATGGTGGCTTCCGTTCTAGATTCCGTGATCTGGAAGATCACTCTCATGGAGGAAGTCAAGCACAGCAGGCTACCTTTACGACTTTGAGAGAACAAAAGGCTGAACCTGTCCCTGAGGAAAAGAAACCAAAAAAGAAAAAGAAGTTCTTGAAGAAACTTTTTGGAAGGAACTAGATGCCCTTTCAATTCTTACACACGCTAGATTCAATAAGATCGTACGTTTAATCAAACATCTATTTTTCTCGTTAAATATCATGTCTCAAACTCAATGAGATTTCCGTCATTATTTTGCTTTTTGCGATCCTCCGAAGCTTCAGCCTTCTTGAGAGACTCAATCCTCTTCTCTTCCTCCTTGGTGTCGTTGACAGAGCCAACCATAACCTGTGCCTCGGCTCCAAGGACAAGATTTTTATCGTTCTCGTCGATGTCGATAACTCCAAAGTCATCATCTCTTTCATCCTCCTCTTCTTGTGCTTTGGAGGACTTACCTGACTGGACAGACGAGTTGTCGCTATGCTGAGGTGGTGTAGCTTGAGAGTCCATACGACGACGCACCTTCTTGGCCACCTCACGTCCATCAGCGATAAGTCCATCAAACATGTCTCTCAAGTTACGCATGGTATTCATCTTGGAGTCAAGCGGCTTATCAATGTGGAAGGACCCACGGAAGGTATTGCTGAAGAAAAGCTCGTAAGTCTCATCAGCTAAGACCACCATCCTGAAGGTAGGCAAATTTAGGTAAACGGGAGTATTAGGGTTCAATGCAGCATTACTGGAAATTGTGTTGTCGATCTTAAGCTCCTCAATCAACACCTCTTCATCTTCAACTGGCTGAGCATACTCAAATGCTCTTTGGATGAAAGTGCTGGCCGCAGAAAGATATCTCTCGAGTTGCATATTTTCAATTCTCTGCTTATCGAGATCAAAGCTTTGTGGAATTTGGATACCCTCACCATTCGGATTGCCTGACTCTTTCTGTTGCTTGTAGAGCTCATCAGCAATAGCATTTTCAATGGCGGTCTCTGTAAGAGAATCTAAAAGTAAACCCTTCTTCCATGGGGATGTGATGTAAAGCAAGTCTTCGGAAATTGTCAAAATTCCCTCTCGGTCAACCTTGTCATCCTTGCTGTAAAGTGAAAAGAAGTTGGAGATAGACGTGAGTAAGTCGGGCTCTAAAAGCTTGTTCAAACCAACCACAAGGTCAGCCAAGGAGAGTGAACCTTCGGACTTGGAATCCCAGTTATCGAATAGTCTTTGAAGGAAAGCCTCCTGCTTAGCAGCGTCGTCATTAGGTTCCGTCTCTACCCAATCACAAATCTGCTGCATGAAGATTTTGAATGCGTCAAAATGCATTTCTGAAGCACCTGTGCCGACCGTGATGGTGGAGGTGACGATAGAATAGAATCTGTCATAGAGTAACGAGATATCCGTCTGTGAAAGGTTTGCTGTCTTTGGCAAATTTCTCAACTCTGTTCTCTTGACAAAGGTGGTGATGCTCAGGAAGATGGTATTTCTGTGCTTAGCTCTATGTCTCTCAATGACCTCTTCATTGATCACCGAGAACTCTTTGAAGGCGGTAACCATGAGCTCTTGGAATTTTGTAACCAGACTGTATTTGGGGTTTGGAGCGTTAGGATGAGCGGACTGGTCTAAGGTGAGAAAGTACTCCTTGAGGATGGAGACGAAGGTGCCGTCATCTTCTGCCTTCAAAAGCTCCTCACCGTTAACCTTAAGAATGGCCAAGGCCACCTGGAAAAGAGTCTTGGGACCCTGGAGGAAGAATACATCGAGGATTCTGAATGCAAACACCAAGGGCATGGATGTCAAGTATAACGAAAGGAACCATGGAAGAGAAATGACGGACAATTGAATGTCGTATTTCGAGATGTGATTCCAGAGCACGGGCATGGAGTTCTCCACGAGTGACTCAAACACACGTTGATCGAGCAAAGTGCCGTACATGGTTCTCGAGTAGTAGCCTGGGACCACGCGATCGATCAACACATTAAGACACCAGAAGGCCTGTTCCTCTGACATGTAAATAAGCAAAGCCGCCACCACGATGTTCATGGCCTGGCAGTAGCCGATATCGGGGTTCTTCCACGAGTAAGCCGTGAGCACTCTGCGTAATCTATCGATACCCTCCTTGTCCTGGTAGGCAGCGTACTCTGGAAGCGATCTGTTCAAATCCTTCTGAATCTCCTCGATGGCCACGGACTTCTTGCCCTCGTTTTCCTTGAGAAGCGTTTCGTACTCGTTGGTGTGGTCCAACCTGAGGTAGATAGAGCCACAGCACAACTCCCAGATCTCGCCTCTAAGCCTGTTCGGAAGGCCCACACGTACGAGCTTGTAGAACATGGGTGTCTTGATAAGCGACAAATTGCGGCCGTCGACCCGGAAGAGGTCAAACCACAACTTCATCTTGGTCTTGTCCCTGTTGGCCTTAGCGTCACCAGGGAACTTGAACTTGACGCCCAACCCGCCGGGAGGCATGTGTTCGACCTTCTCGTTGCTGACCTTGTTCTTGGCCAAAAGGTACTCGGAGTAGCACGTCTGGATAAATGGCGGAAGCTTCTTGACATTGGGTAAGTTCTTCTTCAAGGACATCTTCAACTGCAGCGAGAAGCGCTCACTCTCGGACCGCAAGCCCACGAGGTAGATCTTGACGTTGATCCGGCTGTGCGTGCCAATGGACAATGCAAAGCCATAGGAGCTGGTGGGGAGCCTCTCGACCTTCTTGACCGTACTGAGGTGAATCACGAAGGAGCAATTTCTGCGGTCGAAAACGTCCCGAAACACAAGAAAGTGCTGTGTCAAGTAGATCCGGCCTTGCGGATACAGCACGTTGTAGGCGTCTCTCGAGTTTTCTGGCTTGCAGCTGATCTCCACCGCCAGCTCATCTAGAATCACCTCTCCGTCCGGAAGGTTGTGTTCTCTGCAAAAGGCCTCGTCTCTAGACAAGCCATTAGCCGGGGCCCTGTCCAAAACCTGGTTGAACGTGTTGACGGCCTTATCTTTGAGGGCCTCAAAGAACGCCATTTTGGGTTACTTGAAGAAGACAATTGAGGTATGGCTGTATAGTCTTGGTTGATAGGCCCGCTGCAAGTCCTTTTGTCTGGTGCACTGGTCCACAGACGCTTGGCACACGTACCACCCGGTCAATCCAGGGAATGATTCTTGAATTTATTTTGAATTGTTTGTGGAGTATTTTTTAGAGGATGGCTTTTTTATTGCATGATTATTTTGGCAAAATCGGGTGGGGGTGTTTTCGCTTATCGGCTAATTTCGGCAGAACGTTGCAATCTGGCCGCACAAGCACAAATGCTTAACCAGCGCGGCGTACTATTTATATAAGATTTGTGAATGACCCGAGGTTTTGGAATATGATTTGAAGATTTTTGTAGTGAGAGAAATTGGTCAATTGTGAGAGGATTTAGTTGATCGAGATGTTTGATTTGGAAATTTGTACTGTGATTGGGTTTGGAAGTACCGGTGCTATCTTATCATTAGATCGCTTTATCACCTTACTGATTTTAAGCGAGTGGCTACTTAATGTAGAACAGGTGATATTCAGCTCAACAGCCTTCTTTCTAAAATTTGTCAAGGTGAAAATGATGATTTTTAGCAATGTTAGAGAAGTTCAATGCCAAGGTTGGGAGCCTTTATTTGAATCACCAGAATTATATCTGCTACTCATTCAGAGTCTGAAAATCCTGTTGATACCATCCTCGTCCTACACCACCTTAACGTCTTGGTCTATTAATCAAGTAATATGTACATGCTAGGTATGCGTGGGGCCATGGTGTTGATCTTGGCTCTTAATCACCTTGTGCAACCGATTGACATTTTGAATCTCTCCAGTTGACTCCTGGGAGTCCGTCTGCTCCAAGCCTTCCTCTTCTAAGTCCTCAAGAGACACGTAGTGCTTGAAATCACGAATCTGCTTGAGCGGCTGTTTGGTAGCCTTTCTGTCTCTGACCTTGAACTTGTTTCCGATAATCTTGCCGGTATGAGCCAAGATGATCCGGATCACCTCCCTCTTAATGTGAAGCACGAAATCCTCGCCCGACCATGTCTTCTTCTTGAAATGCAAAAGCGGAATGGTGAGCATAAGACGGTGGACATCAATGATATTGAGATGCTTGGGCGCCTTGAAACTGACTCTAAGCTTCATGGATGTAAGCTCGATTTCGTCAATGACAAAGAACTTGGAGGATCTCTTCATGATGATGGAAAGGTCATCCGTGGCCTCACCATCCTTCTCTTTCTTCGACTTCAAGCCCAAAGCTCTTCTTGTTTCGGAGTTGATCGATGGAATGTCGGTAGAAGAAATTCGTGAAGAATTGTCCCAGCTACCGGAGTCGTGAGAGCTTCTAGATGGCGACTGAGGAGGCGACGAGGCCAATGGACTTCCAGGATTTCTTTTGGCAATGATCTTCCTGAATGGATTGATCGAGCTCACCTTGGTCTTCGATCCACTGCTTTCGGTGCTCACAGACCCATCCAGCTCGTCTGACGAATCACGATCTCTGCTGAAGCTTGCACTTCCATTTGAACGTTCGTGTTTGTTGTCCTCTTGTTTGTCATCGTGGGGGAAGAGGTAAGCAAGAAGCGTCTGAGCTGTTTCAAGATCAAGCTGGAGACTGGCCAGCTGACACTGTAATTTGGCGCTTCTCATGACCCTGATACCACCAACACGACTGAGCATCTTCCACGTCATAGCCACAACGGGCTTGTTCTTATCATAGCTGGGTTCGTCAATCAAAGGCAGCATGAAGTCGGGATACACTGCGTTTCGACGGAGATTGAAACCTTGCATCATGGAGATTTCCACAAGATTGGTGTTTGAACCGTCAAGCATATCAACACGCTGAAATTTGGATGGAGCCATGGCCAAGTCCACCAATGGCTTGTCTGTGTCTTCCAAAAGATGCCAAATAACCTGATCGGCATAGATGTTCCAGTACTTGCCAACTCCACGATTTCCCTTCCTCTGCGAAGAAACTTGCTGCAATGTATGGGTGATGATGGCAAGCTGAACGTAGGTTCTGTCCAATTCTAGCTCAACATGGGAGACGCCCCTCTTGTCCTCTGCAGTGAGGTTACGATCTTTCAAAGAAAGAAGCGTATGTTGACACAACGCAATATTACGTTGCAAAAGCTTCACCTTGTCTGCCAAACCGGTAGTGTCTTCAAGTCCTGAAAACTCAATGATCTGATCAAGTCTCAGGTGGAGTTGCTCCTTGGCTGACTTGCTATCCAAAAGAAGATTGAGCAAAATGTAGTACATGGACGAGTACTGCTGGGATGTGGCATTCACCACTACCTTGGCCAAATGGACACTGAGCTCGTCGGCATGTAGATTTGCCGCAGACTCCATGGACAAGAAGTTAGGTTTTTTGAGCATCAACGCCATCGAAGTCTTCTCCAAAACAAGATCTTTCTGAAACCATGTAGTGTCCACGCAAGCCTCGTAGTCGACCCAGGGAGGCCAGGCTCGTTTCTGATGATCGTCACCATAGGGACTCTCGTATGTATGAGGAAAGTTATCTCTGTGGAAAACAAACGCATGCATGTCTTTGAAGAGAGTACCATGACGAGATTCAACAGCATTGACCTCTTCACTATTACTGTCACTGATGATATCGTCTGTTCCAGCAATGTTCTCCGAGAGAATACGCAACTCAATGTCTTGAGAGGTCACACACATAACCGAATCGGGGTCCAACTCACACTCTAGCTGAATCTGGGGTCTGATGAATTTGACAAGATACTTGTACTCCATTTCGTGCTTGTCGTTAGCCAAGCTATTAAGGTATTCCTCAAATTCCTCAATAACATCTCCCGAGTTCTGGAAGGTCAGCTTGAATCCTTCTTCATTTTCTCCCGGAGGTTTCTCATTTGCAGCACGGTTACGCTGCTCAGCAAAGCACTCTATGAGATCCACCGCCTTCTTCGATATCATGAGCGTTTCTGTACGCCTGGTTCCGATCAACATCATGTATGTTGTGACAAGATTTCTGACACGATTGTTCCATTTGAGCTTGAGGTTATGGAAAAGGAATCTATTGTGGAACTCACTCACACCAGAGTTCTCGGATGTTATCTCATGAGCCTGATCAATGGATTTGAAGCTGGAGTATAATGAGTGAGCGGCCGACTTACGTCTCGCAATATCTTCCTCACCAAGGTATTCATGTACGGAATAACCATTCTCCTTGTCATCAAACGCTTCGATGTTTTCAGCACAGTCAGCGTACATGTCTTTGACGACATCAATTCTCTCCTTTCCTTCCTTGATCAGCTTCTCAAGACGTACCCTTTCGGTAGGGTCATTCTGGCCTTGAAGTTCTTGCTCATCGGTTTCAATCTCAGTACGAAGAATGTTGGCTCTCTTTTTCAACAAGTCGGCCTGAACGGTATCTGGACTCTCACCACCAATGTAGCACACATGAGATGGCTCACGTCCAAAGGGGTACTTGTGATCTTCTCTCTCCAAAGTGAACTCTCTGAAGTAGGTGTACCTAGGAGTGTGGAAAAATGGAAGTACCTCAATTATTGGATCCGGAGAAAGCTCTTCTCTCAGCTCAAGTTCCACAAAGTCGTCTTGATCTAACCAGGCTAGGTCCTCTGGGTTGCATTGGATGCCATGAGACCAGCTGGTGCTCTTGAGATGCCTTACTCTGTCATCGAGTTCTTCTTGATACTTTTCAACACTCAATGGTTTGTCCACTTGGTTTGTAAGGTAAGCGATAATGTGACCACGAATCGATGGGTCCTTAAATGTTGCTTTAATGGCACGAATGTCAGCTTCACAAACACGAACCTCTCCTAGGTGAAGCTTCATGTGATGCACCTTCTTGTCGATACCCAATTTCTCATTAATGTACCGAATGACCTCCTTTCTTTGATGAAGATCAATGTGACATTTTTCACTCTTACCCTTGAGACCGGTGACAATGACACGAGGACCATCCTCCAGATTCTCATACGAAGTGTACATGTGACTGACAGCGAGAGGCTCTAGGATGAGCTGGTACTTGAATGTCACCAAGTGGGTGCCTGTTTTCATGGACGCCTTATCAGCCAATTTGGGGAACAACTTGCCTTGACGAACGGGCATACTGACAGTATGCGAGATCGAATTCCACCAGTAGAAGAAGTAGGCAAACGCAAGTGGTGTCAAGTAAGCTGTATTGTGACTGTTGCCCTTCTTGGAAACCGAAGTGACACCTATAGCCAAGTGGAGATAATCGGACCGGAAGCCTTCATAGGAGTCAGGATGCCAGTCGAACTCTGGACTTGTTACCACAACATCATAGTGAGGAATGAATTGGTCGGTACGCTTGTGGTCCGCACTGACATCACGACATTTAACGTCTTCATTTCTTTCGAAAAGAAGACCTAGACGCCACTGCACTTTTTCATCCGATGAAAACTTCATAACGTGTTTTTGGAAAGTACGCCTCACATCAATATCTTCAAGAACAGTCTCATCAAATGGGTGTGAAGAGCTCCACGGCATATCGCTTCCATATGAACAGTCAGGAACTCCATAAACAAAATCGTAGGAATTCAACATAATGAGCTCTTTCTGGTCGCCGGTATCATTGAATTTGAGCTCCACATCGTGCTTCCAGCTCCACATGTAACCGGCACTTTTACCAACAATATCGTAAGGATCTGAAGAACTCTTGATGTGGAGACACAATTCGTTAGGAATGTCGAATCTGAGTTTTCCATGCAAAATGAGACTCAACTTGTCCCACCAGCCAATTGGCGAATCGTCGATTTGAGGCTTGGAGAAATTGTCCAATGCACCTGCTGCACTCAGAATCGCCGCCAGGTACGATTTGGACCAATTGAGAATACATGGTTTATCCGTGTCCACTAAACACGAAAGGTCGAACATTGCCTTGACAGGCGTGAGTGTACGAGGAACATAAACCGAGTAGAAATTGTCAACCGACTTTTCTCTCTTGGTGGCAGCAGCAAATGGAACGTAGATATGTCTCATTTCCTCTTTTCTGTGAACAAGCTTCTCATTGATGACAAGCTTACCGTGAAGGTCCATGATATTCGTCCCACGCTTGCCACAACCAGGGAAGGTAAGTAAAGGTAATGGATAATCTTTAAGCGAAATGTAGAATGACGAAGCACGAAGACGAATTTCCAACGGAATGAGAATCGAGTAATCGAGCTTCGGTTGTCCTTTTCCATAAACCCTCAAAAATTCATCCACATCGTCGATCTTGGCTTTGTCTAAGGTAAGATCAAATTGGTTGAACGCAACACACATGATAGGAGCACCAGGAGCCAGTTTCTGGATATTGTATTTTTGACCCATCAACGGGTTGATCTTATCGTAACCAGATACCTTTGTCTTAGTCCGACGAGCCTGTGCAAATTTGCTCCGTTTGAGTCTGTTGAAATTGGTAATCCAGGACATGGAAATCTCCTCCTCCAATCTTTCCCTTGCACGAGCTATTTCAGCCTCGGCATCTTCCATAGTGAATATTGAAGTTTCACGATCCGTGGACTCGTCACCTTTTGGTAGCTCGGACGTAGAGCTAGTTGGCAAACTCTTGTCCAGGTTTTGTCTGAAGCCATGGCGGAAAGTATTTGCAAAGTTGCGCTGGAAGTGATGAGTATGGGTTTTTTTGCCCTTTCTTTCACCGAGGAAACGCCTCTTTTCCACCGTAGACGCCCTTGTAAGATCAATAGGAGAGGACTGGACCTTCGCTCTAATTTTTTTGGCTTCCTCTTCAAACAGCAACCACTTCTTCTCTCTGAGAATGTTTTCCACACGGCCCAACTGGTAGATAAGCCCGAGTTCCGCCTCAAATATATCGTCCTCCAATGAAAGATTGAATTTATCAGAGCACCAGCGGATCTTTGGGAATAAAATCGGGGGTTTCGCTTCGGGCATGAGTCTCTCAAACTCTGTACAGCCCGACCTGAGATTATCGAAATTATGCTTGACTTGCTTAGTAGCTTTCACCATCGTGATGATATTGTCAATGACCGTGTAAATGAGGTAGCGGAAAGGAACATAGATCTTGATGCTGTTGGATTTCAAGAAACATGTCTCCTGAAGAAGCTCACCCAAAGACGAATGGGTCTGATGGATACAAACCAATCTGCACCAAGCTTGGGTGGCTGGGTGAATGACATAGAGTCTGCAATTTAATAGATCGAAGATTGGAGAGCTTGAGGCGTCTGTGACACTAAGACCCTCTATCTCAAATAAAGTGTCAACATCATTCGGAAGCACAACCTTGATAGCGGTGGATTTGACATGAATATCAAGCTTGACTCGCTTCTGTGTACCCTTCATGCGTTTAAGTTCCGACTTTGTGTACTCCACCTCGACTGTTGGCTGGAAGAGCTTGAGCAAACTTCTGGCGTAAAACGCACACCATATGAGGAACATATCGACCATACCATCAGCTTCAGGAACCGTCAAGATCAACTTGTCGGTCTTCTTTTTCTCTGTGGTGACATTGAAGTTTTTGATGAAAAGAGCACTACGCTGCATGGAGGTGGTTTCTTCGAGGCCAGTAGCCCCAAAAGATTCCACACTCAGAAGGTCACTGAAATCGATGTCGTGCTTCATGATTTCGTCATACTCAGGCGACATAGAAGCATCGACTTTAGCAGCGTATTCACTTAAAACAAAAATTTCTGTCGTCTTTGCTTTCGAGAAGAAGTGCTCCTCGTTTCGATCAAAGTCCACCAAGTAGTCTTTGATGATGATTGAAACACCTTTTCGGTAGTCAGCCAAGTCAGTTTCTTCTCCTTCATCACCGATAATGTGGGATGGTAAACCGTCTTTGCAAATGATAGTTCCATGGATCTCCGAGGCCCTAAACGTAGCTTGGACGATACAGTCGGGTAGAATATCAAGGAAGTCGATGAATGTAATTTCTGTTTTCGATTCGGGCTCGTTGAATGTGGAGTCCGGATCCGTAGTGGTCTCCAAACGCTTCTGTTGCAACATTTGGTTGTAATGCTTAATGTGACTGTCTCGAAGCCTTCTGACCACGTAGAAGATCATATCGTTCACGGATTTGATGACAAAGCGCTTACTGAAGACTTTAAGCTTGACTCTGTGGGTGTTGAGGCAGTAAGCCGTCATGAAGTTCAATTTTGTGGCCACAACTTGATTCTCCTCGACATCAATGACCAAGTTCTTAATTTTGGCAAACGCTTTGAGAGAAGATGGAGGGTCCTCTGGACGAGTATGGAGCAGGAGGATCTTGCCAAGCTCCTTGGAGGAATACTTTGTGAGGAAGGTGGAGATGCTAGCCGTGGCGGTGACATTGTGAACAGAAGAACGATTGAATTCCTTCAGGTCCATTGCGGGAAGATGGAGGGTGGCTCTGGTTTCTGAAATACCCACCTTCACAGATGTAGCTCTCATCTTTCGGAGGTACTTACTCAAGGGCACAGCCAAAAATTGCTTCTGCTCATGTTCCGCCGTTCGCTTAGACTTTGAGCTCGACAGCTTGAGCTTCTCCATAAACGTTTCGATTTGGTCGAAATAGATATCGAAGGAAGGATGCGTGAGGTCCAAACTGGTCTTGACGTCAACAAAGAATTGATCTGTGTTTCCGGCCTCGTAGGCCCTGAACAAGTCGGACATGTCAGACTCAAATAAATAGGTAAGGGAAGGAACATCCACACACTTTGTGTCCAAGCTGAAGACCCGAAGCGAGTTGACGTATGCCGATGCCTCCAACAAGGTATTGAGCTTGTAGGACTTCTCTCTCCGGAGGGAAATCAAAGTGCTCGAGACATCAACAACAATGTGGTTGTACTCAGCCTTGAGGTTCTCGATACGGAGTTCCACCGAGGACACTATAGCGAAGGCCTTGACGAACTGGTCCAACATGGGGATGGAGTCGGAGGTGTCGTACGTTGGTTTTGGAGCCTTTTTCGGTTTTGCAGGCGTAAGGCCCGAGATCGGCGTGATGTGAGGACTCAGGATCGAAGTCAGCATGGTGATATCGCTGAGGTCCATCACCATATGGTTTCTCAGGTCTCGACAGCACGAGAAGATAAGCGAGGAGCCGAGCGACACAACCACATTTTGGAAGATCTTTATCAGATTCTCGTTCGGCAGGAGCTTCGATCGCAGATTCAACAAGTACCCGTCTATCACCAGGAGGCTGAGTGTGTAGGTGCTGGGGGTGATGTTGTAGGTGCTGTGGAGACGAGTGTAGTCGAAGTGGGCCGAAACGTCCGGACTGAACCCTTCATGGTGAACAGAACAGCGAATTACGTGAATGTCCACCTGGTTCATCCAGGTCCGTTTGAGCAACCAGTTGTAAGCCCAGCCGGGCACCCTGAACTCTAGGTGTTCCGGAATGACCGTCTGCAGCGATTGTGATTCGTCCAGACCGGCAGAGCTCTTTTTCTGCTCGACCGTCACGTCTATCAACGCAACGTGGACCATCCGATACGGCTCGAGCTGCAGCAGCCAGATGTTGAGCCATAGCGTAAGCTTATCTATATGGATGGTGGTGTGACGGAGGTTGATGGAGACTTTGCGGAGGGAGAACCAGCCCAAGGAGCGGACGGTGACGTGGGGGATCAAGTTGACCAAGAAGAGCACGGCCGCTAGCGCCACCACGATGGCAACGGCTATTAAGGTAAACATGGGATGAATCTTCAGTGAAAACGGTGATGCATAAGTCGGGCCGGTAATGCCGGATGCGCAGACGGAGGATATATGGAGGGCCGGTAAAGCGATTCTGGTGCTTTGTGGAGGGAGAAGTGGGAATGTTTTGCTCCGGAGGGATAACTGGGGGTTGTGCTTTTTTCCACCTTGTGTAAGTTGATGAAACTGGAAATCTTGCTTCGCACCTGCTTGACGCCTTATCTGCTGCAGACCGTTTTTGGCTTAGACGGAGTGCTTTTGGTTACGAAGAGTCTAGTATGTGGCTCTAGTATGTGGCCTAGTGTGGAAAAGAAGAGGTGCTTGTTGTAATTGAGTTTCACGATGTATCCTGTCAAGTACGTCAAATGCAGACGCAAGCCGGAGAGACTAAATGGGGCTTATGCGGGATTTGCGTAAGCGGGCATTTCAGCTACCGAGAGACATTGGAGGATTTAGAGAAGCTTAAGCTTTTTGGTTTTACTTTTGTTTTTGACTAAACCTTCAATTTCATTGGATCTGGCCGAGAGCAATCATCGAGGTGGCTCACGGCTCGGCAATACTCCGGTATACCCGAACGGCTGCCACGAAAAGTGGGTCTAGGGATTTACGGCAGTGCGCTTTGGCGAGGTTGCATCCAAGACGTTGAAGGGTTGGAAAGTGAGACAGTGGAATAATCCAAAGAAGGTGGATTTTGAATTTGTGTATTTTTGGTGATAAGTTTTTTAGGGAGCCCGCAATGGTTGCTGCCAAGCCGTTTTGTGAAAGTCTTGGTTATGTTCGTTTGGCACTGAGCAATTGGTGGTTGCTGGATACGCAGTTTGAATGTGTGGATGCCTGGTTTGTGTTTCTAAGACAGGCATAGTTGCTACATGGTGAAAGGCTCAACAGTCACAAGAGGGGAACAGCGGGATTAGGCGAGGAAGTGAGGGAAGGCTGTTTGAAAAAGAAAAGCAGAGGGTTTGTTGCATTGAGGCTTTGCTTTTAAGGTTTGTGGATATTAGTGTGTGGTGGATTTGGTAGTTAGAGGGTCACATAGATAGGATTGAGTGGATTCCAATGGGTAGCTGTATATTTACCAAATCGATGGATCCGAAGGCTGTAGAGCCTTAAATGATTGAAAAGCTGTTTTTATCTCATCGAAAGATAGATAACGTTCAATGGTCTGTATTGCTCTAAGGCAGTCTCCATAGCGTTGGCGCTTTTCGCAGCCATATAGAGTGCCATATAAAGTGCCATATAAAGTCGGTCAAAACACCCCCACAAACCGATTAACTACAATGACAGAGAAGCATCACTCTCTCCATTTCTTTCATCAACGAATCTCGTCAATGTCCAATACGTCCCCATTGACTGCCTCCAACACACCATGTTCACCGAATTCATGGTCGTGCGCGCACCACAATCTCGCCACACATACTCAATCACTCAGTACTGATCGATCCACCTTATCAATTTCCCCAGACAATCACACCAGCCATGGAGGAACTAGGTATAGAACAACCCGTCGTCTCTGCACATGCACTTCCCAGATCCAAGCCTGATTGGGCTCACATGACCGACGACAATTTGGATGTGTACTTGAAGCTCAAGAAATTGGAGAAAGAGTTGGACTTGTTGTTGTTACAGGAGGACTACATCAAGGACGAGCAGCGTCATTTAAAAAGAGAGCTTGTACGTGCTCAGGAGGAGGTCAAGCGTATCAGATCCGTACCTTTGGTTATTGGCCAGTTCTTGGAGCCCATTGATGAAAATACAGGTATCGTCTCCAGTACGACAGGATCCAACTACGTGGTCCGGATTCTCTCGACTTTGGACAGAGAATTGTTGAAGCCTTCTTCTTCGGTGGCATTGCACCGCCACTCCAACGCTCTTGTGGACATCTTGCCCCCCGAGGCCGATTCTTCCATTTCCATTGTCGGCGACAACCAGAAACCCGACGTCACATACGCCGACGTCGGTGGTTTGGACATGCAAAAACAAGAAATCAGAGAGGCTGTGGAATTGCCATTGACGCAAGGTGATTTGTACTCCCAGATTGGTATTGACCCTCCCAGAGGTGTCTTGCTATATGGTCCTCCGGGTACGGGTAAGACCATGTTGGTCAAGGCCGTGGCCAACTCCACAACTGCATCCTTCATCAGAATCAATGGTTCGGAGTTTGTACAAAAGTATCTCGGTGAAGGTCCCAGAATGGTCAGAGACGTTTTCCGTCTTGCCAGAGAGAACTCCCCCGCCATCATCTTCATTGATGAAATTGACGCCATCGCTACGAAAAGATTCGACGCACAAACCGGTGCCGATCGTGAAGTCCAGAGAATCTTGTTGGAATTGTTGAACCAAATGGACGGTTTTGACCAGACGTCGAACGTTAAGGTCATCATGGCCACTAATAGAGCCGACACCTTGGACCCTGCATTGTTGAGACCAGGTAGATTGGACAGAAAGATCGAGTTCCCCTCTTTGAAGGACAGAAGAGAGAGACGTTTGATCTTCTCCACCGTTGCATCCAAAATGGCCTTGGCTCCTGAGGTCGACTTGGACTCGTTGATCGTGCGTAACGACCCATTGTCTGGTGCTGTCATTGCCGCCATCATGCAAGAGGCAGGTTTAAGAGCCGTCAGAAAGAACAGATACATGATTCTACAAAGCGATTTGGAGGAGGCATACACCGCACAGGTGAAGAGCGGCACGGAGCACGACAAGTTCGACTTCTACAAGTAAGCAGGTGAAAGATGGTCATTTACAAGATGTTAGATTAGCTCATAGACGGCCAATCCTGGTTGCAAGGTCCGTGGATCGCTCCAATCGAGGTGGTCTAGGTCCAAATGGAAGGGTGTGCTCCACGTCTTGTTAAAATGAGTGGCGTCGAAGTGCGTGGAAAAGGAAGCGATCGGCGTCACCAAAAGCACTTTGGTGTCTAAGTTTTTGATGAGTGCATCAACAACCCCAATGTCAGAGCCCATAGCGTCGATTACATAGTTGGTCTTGGTGTCGTCGAGCTCAAAACCGTGATAGTCGCCGTCAAGACTGATGAATTGATACTGATGTTGCTTGTCTGCTAGCATCCATGTAGGCGGAGAGTAAGTTCTCCACCACACCTGGGTGACTCCTTGTAGATGCAGTGTTTGTAGGTAATCCAAAGCTGGTACAACTCCACCCTGGTGGAAGATTCCCATCAATACTCCCATCACAATGTTGAAAGCGAACCACAAACCCATGAAAATGGAAGATAGGCTGGAGGCTTCTTTAGCATCACCGTCGTATCCAAGACTTAAATCGAAACAACAGCATAGAAGTGGCACGATGGGAGTCAAAAAGCGCAACTCTTGATGAGGAACCAACGAAAGAAATAAAATCCCACTGGCTGCACTCAAAAAGGGCGTTGTTTTCCAGTATCTGTTTCTGAAGCGAAAGAACAAAAGCAATAAGCCGGGACCAAAAAGCTGTGGCAAGTTGGCAAGAACGTGAGTGTACCATGGGTGGATTCCGTGTTTCGCCAAATTGAGTGTGTTGGTGTTGTACAAGAGACTGTTCAACGGGGCAATTATCCACAGGCTGAGGGACCAGGGGTGCTGAAGAAGCTCTGAAACGGAAAGTCCTTGAAAAATAGCAGTATCAAGAACAATGCAAGCAGCTGAAGTAGCAGCGAAAGTAGCAGCAGCGACTAGAGGAAGCGTTTTCCATTTCCAAAAAGCTCCAGCCAAGTAGTAGCCTGGCAACACGAAAAAGCACGGAAACGTGATTCTGTTGAATGTTCCAAAAGCGACCAAAAAGCCGAGCGTGCCTGCCAATTTCACCAAATCACCAGTCCTCTGTTGTGATACATCCTGGCTCAGTAGGAACCTCAACTCGTTGATGATGTACACCGCAGCCACCACCAAAACGGTCTCCACAGAGTTGGAAAAGCAGTGACTCTGATACACCAACGTCACGTACAGAGTCAGCGTAAAGTAGATAGCCTTGATCCGCTCCTGCTTGGTCGGAAGCATCTTGTGAAGACACCAGTCTGTGACCATCCACGACAACACCATAAGCACCAAGCGGCAGATGTACCATATCTGGAGCGGCTGAAACCCCAAATAGTCTGCTGTTTTCATAATTGGCCAGTAGAACAAAACCAATGGAGCATAGCTTCGAGCTGGACTAGCCGAAGTAAACTCCCATGGAGCATTGACATTGTAGCCCAACCAGGCCAGAACAACCTCCAAGCTCTGAAAGTGTTCATCTGGATGGATGTAGGAGTCCGAAAGGGCCACGAGGAATCGGAGCCCGATCGTGAGAAAGTAGACGTATCTCCATGAAAGAAGGTGGGCCATTGGAGATGAAAATGCGAACTGGGTGCAAAATTCGGGCAGTGTGGGGGTGATGAGGTGGGAGGGTTGGAAAGTTGGAAAAGGTGAGATTTTGATTTGTAGTGGAAAGGAAATCGAGAAAAAAGAGTGTTGGTCGACGATTTTTGGTTTTTTGGGAAGTCGAGCCATTATGGCTTAGGCGACTATTCCCCGACACCAGAGCCCATGATACCAGAGTGCACACTATGCTACTGGGTGCTAGACCGTATCCCAATGCTTCACCAAAGATGTTCTTTTTTTTTTCTTTTTAATTGTTTGAAACTTTTTTTTGGTCTTCATTTACATGCTTTACTTAAAAATATTAATCTCCGCTACTTCCTCTACAATCTTCTCTTACCGATGTCTATTGATATGCACAGGTTAGGCCTCGTCACTCATGCCAGCCTCCATCTCGTCTTCACTGTTTTCGTAGTCGCCCACGCCATCCATGTCTATGTCGTCGTCCTCGTCGTCACTGATGAGCCCAGCGTGCTCTGCATCGTCGAGCTCCTCCACATACTCCACCTCTTGTTCTCCATCCTCGTCGTTCACCAACGAGCCATTCAAGATCTCCTTCTTCAAGCTGTTCTGCGATTGCAAGAGATTGAGTCTGCCTTGCAACTCGAGCAAACGGGGTAACGTGTCGGCCTTTTTGGTCAAGATGGAGTG